GTTATGCTGTCTTTCAAAACTCATTTCTATCATTATACATTCAAAAGAAAATATTTTACAGACAACAAATCAGAGGATTTTAATTGCTGACAGATATAACCTATGTGAAATAATTCCTCCAATTTATGCATATCACAGTTACACATTAAGGAAATATTCCCTTTAAAACATAAAAAGTTAGATCTTTAAAAAGTGCAAAAAAACAAAAACGGTAAAAAAAAAAAGATCAAAAATCCCTGACCTTTAAATGTTACTGTGGACAGAAAATACAAAGACTTGTAGAAGTGTTTTTGATAACACTCCAGTAGCATGAGTCAGACAGACGCAAAAGTACATTCACACTGCAGCAAATAATCTATATTAAGGAAAAAATTAGATGATTAATGCGGAACTATATAGGATTTTCAGTTACTGTTTGTAAACAATATTTAAACCTCAAACCTTGTTCCTCCTCGTGAACAGGCTCAACACATTCAGCAGTGTATACCCCTGCCCCTGACATGATATCAGTTGCCAGAACACACACAGCCCAACCTGCAGCAAGTCAAAAGCGTACTATTTGTGGGAAGATAAGCGATGAGGTGTTTTGCAAATATTGTTTTAAATATTGCGTTCATTATGCACAAATGGTAGTTTTTGTATATATGAACAGTTACACTAATAATTAGATGACTGGCTGTAATTTGCGAGTGGGCTGTCTTCAGTCTAGCTCGCCAATAAACAACAATTGTGTCATCATAAAAATTTAATTACAATGCATAGCAATCTGCCAAGTTACAGATAGAAGTTAGTAAGGCAATAGTAACATTAGTAAATTGTTTTAGTGTCAAGACATTACAAATTAGTGGAGCTTCCCGAGCTTCAGACACAGACAACACACCCACTGGACAAAGGTTGCAGCCCAGAAATGAGCCAGCAGTAGAAGATTCAAATAAGAAAATACAGGCAAAGGACAATGTCTATGTAGACAAAAACACCACCACACACTTCTAGTGGATCATAAAGTAATGGTTGAGAGGGATTATTTTTGTATGAGTCTATAGTTTATTTTTTGTAAAAATCCTATAGTGTGCCTTTAAGGAAGATACCACTCTTTCCCAAACAAGATACAAGCTAAATGTGACTTAATCCAACTATGATGTTTGTCCTAACAGATATCCATGCTCTTCCGGTGATCTTCCTGTCAGGATTTGCTGTGGAAGTTTCTGTTTCCTGTGGGCTAAAGATTTAAGCCTATGCGGGGTAAAAACTAGGGTATTTTGTGTTTAAAAAGACACTTTCAAGTTGTCTACCTCCAAAAAGTTAGCATTCTGCTAACATTTTGCCACCATGTACTTTGAACAGTTTCCATATGGATAACAAAAGAGTAGCCAGTGTTAACAGACACCACACAGATAGGGGAAATGGGAAATCACTTTGATACCTGGTCTTTCACTGAGTTTATTGATTTTCTCCCCTAATCAGCATTCACATTTTTCAAACTGTCCCTCAGACACAATATAACACATTCAGATTAACATTAGCTACTCAGTATATAATAATGTTGAAAACAAGCATGATGTGGCTAAACATGCAGTTCACTCAAGCAGATGTACTGAACTGATAAGAACAAAACTGTTTCACAAGAAACCTGTCTGATGTTGAAAAAGACAAAAATAAGAGCAAACATATCTAGTCATGTTTATTTATTTAACTGTAAAGCATTAACACTTTATCTGTATCGATTCAAAGCAATTTCTGCATACATGTAACTAAATTTATGCAAATTTAACCTTTTGAAAAGTATAGGATTGGGCAATGAAGAGAAGGTACAATAAACAGACTTTTGTTCAACACTGATACAAACATTAAAACCTGAGTAGCACTGTCAGATTCAAACTCTAGATCCAACAACGTCTGGACCACAATAAGTAAGATAAAAAAAATAACAGTGAAAGATGGGCAAAAAGGGTCAGTATTCTGGAAGTGAGTAATTTTCTTCTTGTCTTGTTTCCGGGGTGCCGGTGATATTGTTTTCAAAGGTTGTGGATGCTTATTTCCATAGTAGAGGGATAAAGGTCAGGAAATGCAGCCGCTATAAATGGCACATGGTTTCTGAAACTGACTCTGCCTTGACGTCTACAGACAAAGAAAAAAAGCACCAATGCAAAACAATTTTGTGGAGATGACACATGCTAGGCATCACGCCAACCTTGAATGGCGTGACAGCCACAAATCCTCAGAGTAGCGTGTCATGTATATAGATGCTGTTACACAATAGCACTAGCCTGAAGCCCCTATCTCAATATGTTGTATGACCTGTCCTGGCATGTGAAATCTAAAACAAGGCTGCTCTATATTCAGAAAGCTCTAGTCACTGACTCATCCGTTTCAAAAGGCAAGGACCCACATGATAGGTCTGGTTTGTGTGTCACTGTATCTAGTCCAGTGTGAATTATTAAGCAGAATACTTGAACCTTGTTCCCAAACCAAGAAACACATTTGCTTCCGGTGGGTACTTTCAGTGGAAAACATCTGGATTTTTAAATTAGAACACAGTACAGTAGGCATATTCCCTGTCAGGTAACCTTACTAAATGAACTGCTTTTATTCTAGATCAGGCACGTGCACACATAGACATCAAAGGGGGCTTTAGCACCTGCCCTTTTTCTTCATCGAGAGAAAGTGCCCTTTTCTTCTGGGGAGTATTTTATTTTTTATTTTTTTAATAAATTAATATATGTGTATATGTGCGCATGTGTGTGTTTATGTTTGCGCGCACAGCATTCCCTGTCAAACAATTAAAAAATCAAAATATCTGGTCGGGTCGGGAAATGTTGAGACTGTCGAGTTCCGATGCCTTTCTCCAATCCGCATCTCCGCAGCACAGCAGTGTTGCACACATTGATCACCACATCACATCACAGTCACAGGCAGAGAACCGCAGAAGTGAAGCCCTCCCTCCCTTTCCAGTTGTGTTTGTCTTACTGTGGAGGTGAGTGGTGATGAACAAAAAACTGAGCTACCTGTGCCTCGAATTTACAGCTAATTACCCAAAAGGCAAGTGTGTTTCTCTGCACAGGCCCGGTGCACCCAGGACGCGATCTTCCCAGATGTCCTTCACTCCGGTGCCGGGACAACACGGACCCTGGGTGCACCCGCAGTGACTTACTAAAATAAACTTGAAGTATACTACTTTTTGGTAAGGGCACTTATCTTATCTTATCTTTAATTGATTTTTCCATACATTTCTGTTGTACATTAACTGACAGTCACCACTGATAAGCTACCACTAAATATTGTAAAAACTTAATTTGTTGTAAAGTTGCTTTGCAACGATTTGTATCGTGAAAAGCGCTATACAAATAAACTTGAATTGAATTGAATTGAATTTAACAGTTTAAATGATTCGGTTCAATCGCAGTGACTCGCTTATTAACAGTGACTTGCTGCCACCTACTGATGGTTTCAATTTCACATTGAAAATATCTTTTCATTAAAAAAAAAAATCTAATATCAGTATTCAACATTTTATGTTTAAAATATCAAAACAGTATTAATGCATTTGTAACAGCAGGTTAAATACATTAATGACCTGCATTAAACAGTGTGTAAATGCATCTAATGCCACTTCCAATGCAGCTTCTGTGTTTCCTCTGCATTGCAACGATGAATTTTGTCAATACTAATTTCAGTTTGCTTGGTAACAGCCCAAATGACTTATAATTTTAATTGACTGATTCAAGTTAAGAATTTGACTGAAATGATGATGCACACTTTTAGAAAGAAGGGCTTTATAAAGGTAAAAATGCCCATAAAAGGTAAAAATCAATTTAAACTTATTGGAAAAGGTTCATTTCTATCACTGCTGTGAACTGATCACCACACAGAATATACAGAATATCAAAAACTTTAGGAGTCAGTTGTCCACGGTAGCACAATATCAGCACAATAACACACTCATGTCACAAAATGTTGTCTAATTATCGTTATCGATAAAATCCCAGAAAATATAGAGATATATTTTTTGTCAATATCACACACCTCTAATATATTTAACGTTTTGTTTAGGAAAAAATGAAAATAAATATGAGAGGTGCCCTTTTTTCCACTTGAGCCCCTGCCCCTCAAAATGTCTGTGCACGTCCCTGTTCTAGAGTAAATATTTTTTTTGATATGACTGAATAAACCTTACTACATTACAATCACAAAAGTCATTTTCATCTGGCTAAAATAGCTCCCTCAGTTAATAACCGCAGATTTCCAAGTGCAGGGAAGAGTAGTAGTCCAGTGTAATCGAGTAGAGATGTTTATTGCGCTATTCAGTGCAGATGAAGCGAATAGTTCTGCAGAAATGTTGTGATTTGCAAAAGCATTTTTCTCTTTAAAATGTAGCAAGTAAAAGTAAACAAAAATATTAAATCAATCGAGTAAACGAAAAACTGTACTTAAGTACAGTAATGATTTGTCAAAATGTTGTCTAATTATCGTTATCGATAAAATCCCAGAAAATATAGAGATATATTTTTTGTCAATATCACACACCTCTAATATATTTAACGTTTTGTTTAGGAAAAAATGAAAATAAATATGAGAGGTGCCCTTTTTTCCACTTGAGCCCCTGCCCCTCAAAATGTCTGCACGTCCCTGTTCTAGAGTAAATATTTTTTTGATATGACTGAATAAACCTTACTACATTACAATCACAAAAGTCATTTTCATCTGGCTAAAATAGCTCCTTCAGATAATAACCGCAGATTTCCAAGTGCAGGGAAGAGTAGTAGTCCAGTGTAATCGAGTAGAGATGTTTATTGCGCTATTCAGTGCAGATGAAGCGAATAGTTCTGCAGAAATGTTGTGATTTGCAAAAGCATTTTTCTCTTTAAAATGTAGCAAGTAAAAGTAAACAAAAATATTAAATCAATCGAGTAAACGAAAAACTGTACTTAAGTACAGTAATGATTTGTAGAATAGAATAGAATAGATGATTCGAGTAGAATTTAAGAACACTTGACACCTACCTTCTATCAGGGGGGACTTTAATAAATCTCGCCTGTCTTCGGGGAAACACTCCAGGAGTCTTTTTAAAAGTCTTCCCAAATCTGAGGAGCTTCTGTGCAGGTAGAGTATATTTCTGTCCGACCATTCAGTCCTTATTTCAAAGAACTCCTCTTCCTCTCCTCTAATGATGAGCCTGCGGATCCCGTTAACCCAACAATCCTTCACGAACATGTTCACCAGGGATGTGCCCTCAAAAATCGCCGATGCCATCTTAAGTACCCTCACTCCAGCATTCTGTAATGGGTGGATTTATCTTTCTGCTTAACTTCAACAGCATAAGTCAGTCAAACTGACTCATGGTCGAGTTTGAGGGAAAACCCACACATGTAAAGGATAATATATGAGTTGGCCTTGTTTAAAGGAAACTGACGGTTTCGATTCGTTTGCGTCTTCAAACGTGGCAAACGGATATGTAAGAATAGCACATCTCTAAAAACAACTCCACAAATATCAAGTAGCTAGTTAAAATATTATCCTATGTATTTCTATACTCCCTTCGTTTTTCTTCAGCTGGGTGCGCGGATCTCAAAACGTCGGACGTTTTATAAAATTACGCCCCATCCGTCAAAAAGTTAGTTTAGGCGTTCTCTTAAATGTCTGATCCAATTTAATATAACGGACTGCGACAGTTCGCTTGTACGCACCGGTAACTTGAACCTCTTTAATCCCATTAGATATTGTTAATCACAGATAAAGTCCAGAGTCGATCAGCTGACCAGAGTGAAGACGCCGAAAACATGTCGAGAGTTTTGTTACTGACGTAAAAAGGCAGCGTTTCCTTCTGTTGACAGAAGTTGAGTCTTCACCCCTCCTTCCCTCTCATTCTCTTTCCCCAACAGCGCTATGCGAGGAATTTACGTGTGTGTGTGTGTAAGAAAGAGAGATAGAGAGCTCACTCCCAATGAACGTCATTCTATGAGCATGTGCTCTTTATTTGCAGTGGCGGCTCGTGGGTTTTAAAATAGAGGAGGCACACTAATTGTATTGGTCTGGGATCCCTGCCGATTATTATATTTGAGAAATTTAGGCTAGTAATTTTACATGCGTGGTCGGTACTACGACTGCGTTTTAGTGCCACGTTAAAAATAAAAAAATTCTAAAATTACGAGATTAAAGTCGTAATGTTTTGAGAATAAAGTCAAAATTACGTGAATAAAGTCGAAATATTTTTTAGAATAAAGTCGACATTTTTCAAGAATAAAGTTGAAATTACGAGAATAAAGTCGAAATGTTTTGAGAATAAAGTCAAAATTACGAGAATTAAATCGTAGCAAAATAAAGTTCTAATATTTTGAGAGTATATTGCAGAAATACCATGCAGGGACAGTATGCTTGGAAATAATATCACGTCTTCAATTGCATTCATTAGGCCTATTTATAGTGCGCCAGCCACCCAATAACAGCAATAAGCTTTGTGCTTTTGGTATTTTTAATAGCCTATAAAACAAAGTCTCAGCTTTTAAAATCTGTCAGTTTTATAGCAAAATACAAATTCTATAAAATTCTATGAAATAAAAAATAAAAAAAATCTACTGTCACGATCTCCAGTTGGAGTGCCCATGAGCTCCTCTACAGGGAGCTCCTCTCAAACACAAACAAGCAAGCCCAGCCCTGTGCCGAACGCCAAAATGCGGTACCGTTCAAATAAATATGCATGTGGATATGGCAAAATAAATAAATTAGATCAAATTAAATTAAATAATCTCCTGGTGTAAATGTAACTCCCCGCGAATTAGTGCAGCCTACAGGATCCCTTATAAAAAGACATGCCATTTTTGTCACATTTACCGTGTCTGCATGATGAAACTGAAAGTGGTCCGGTAAGAAAAATAATCTTGTTTCCATTTTCATTAAGATTATGAAACATTATATCGTTGATACATTTTTTAGCTATATCGCCCAGCCCTAATATCGTATATATTTTTTTCTTATATAGAAAATGCATCATGATTTAAGAATTTTTAGATATTTGTACTTGAAATAAGGCAAAAATCTCAGCAATAAAAGCCATTTTTGCAGAATGAATGAGGTATTTAAAGATCGCTTACGCTTTAAAAAGGGGGAGGAGACCGAAAGAAACTCTGGGTTTACTGATGAAAACCTGCTCCCGACCAGGTTAGGTTCACAGAGTAAGTTACTATGGTAACTTAAGGAGAGGTTTAGTTTTGTCTTATATTGGAACCGAAAACTTCCCTTTTCTGGGGTTAACAAATTCTGAGTTTCCAACAAACCCCGCTTTCTGGAATACACCCCTGATATCTGATCTTATGACTGTTTGAGAAAAAAAAATATTATTATTATTTATAAGTGGTCTTTATATGCTTTAAGTAAAGTGAAGTTACTTTACTTAAAGCAGACAAAGACCACTTATAAATAATATGACCACATTATAAAGCCTTTTGGATGTTTCATGAAGACTTTGTATTTGTTATTTTACAGTAAAAACACTAATAAGATGTACTAAGTTATTGTGCAGATCTTAAACAATGGCAAGATATGACACTTATAATACATTATAACTATGGGAAATATAATCCATTGTAACTTAAGTGGATGCAACTGTATCGCGATACATATTGATATTGAATTATTGTCCAGCCCTACCTGTGGTGTATAAATATGCATTTATGATGTAATTGCATATTGACTCCACTAGAGGGCCAACCTTGGGGCTTACTGGGTCAGACGAGTGAGACTGTACCATGCATGAGCGGGTTAGCAGCAGGAGCTGCTGGTGTTCTGTAATAAACATGTGGTTCTGAGTTATAACTCTCCGTGCACGTAGTCTATCGGATATACTGCACTAGAAGAAACACTACATGGTGTCAGAAGAGAGTCGTTTCACGAACTCGAGCCTGCGTTTGACAGCACTGAGACTTGACGAAGAAAGTGAGCGCGATTCCTGACTGAAGTGAGTCTGCTATAGTAAAAAATAAACATGGATCAGTTCAGATTACCACCTCCATTAGTCCTGTCGGGGAATACAGGTGAAAACTGGAGAAGATGGACACAGCGGTTCAACATTTATATGACTGCTACAGGTTCAGATTCGAAAAGTGAAAAGGTAAAAATCGCCATTCTTCTTCATGCTTTAGGAGAGGAGGCCTTAGAAGTATACAATTCACTGTCTATTGAGCACCTTGGGGTTGACTGCAGGGGGTTACTGGGTCAGACGAGTGAGACTGTACCATGCATGAGCGGGTTAGCAGCAGGAGCTGCTGGTGTTCTGTAATAAACATGTGGTTCTGAGTTATAACTCTCCGTGCACGTAGTCTATCGGATATACTGCACTAGAAGAAACACTACATGGTGTCAGAAGAGAGTCGTTTCACGAACTCGAGCCTGCGTTTGACAGCACTGAGACTTGACGAAGAAAGTGAGCGCGATTCCTGACTGAAGTGAGTCTCAGCAGGAGCTGCTGGTGTTCTGTAATAAACATGTGGTTCTGAGTTATAACTCTCCGTGCACGTAGTCTATCGGATATACTGCACTAGAAGAAACACTACATGGTGTCAGAAGAGAGTCGTTTCACGAACTCGAGCCTGCGTTTGACAGCACTGAGACTTGATGAAGAAAGTGAGCGCATCCTGACTGAAGTGAGTCTGCTATAGTAAAAAATAAACATGGATCAGTTCAGATTACCACCTCCATTAGTCCTGTCGGGGAATACAGGTGAAAACTGGAGAAGATGGACACAGCGGTTCAACATTTATATGACTGCTACAGGTTCAGATTCGAAAAGTGAAAAGGTAAAAATCGCCATTCTTCTTCATGCGACAGTGTCCAGCCTTTGGCGCAACATGTCATGCCTGTGGAAAACATAATCACTTTGCCTCAGTGTGCATGTCTCAACAAAAAGACACAAAGACTAAACACAATAGAAATGTCACAGTTGATTCATTATTCATCGGGTCAGTTGAACTAAAAGAGACCCGCGGCTTTGTACAGAACGCATGGCACACAGATGTAGACATTGGAAATGTGACAGTGAAGTTCAAATTGGACTCTGGAGCAGAAGCCAATATTTTACCTCATGACATTTATCAATCTCTGCACGAAACAGCGTTGTTGCAACCGACTTCGACTATGCTGGTGGCGTATGGTGGAACTAAATTAAAGCCAGAAGGTGTGGTCAACCTTCAGTGTGTCACACCCAAAGTGCAAGTTTGCTTACCCTTTTACATTACCAGACACTCGTCCATTCCAATACTTGGTAAGGAAGCATGTGAACGGATGCAACTGCTTAAAAGAGTTGAAGCTGTTGTAATTAAGCATTCTACCGCCAAAGAGGAGCTGATAACACAACATCCAACAGTTTTTGAAGGGCTTGGTCAGTTTCCGGGTGAACATCATATTCATGTCGATCCGAAAGCAATCCCGGTCATACATGGCTGCAGAAAAATTCCCTTAGCAGTGCTGGGCAAACTGAAGGCCACACTGGATCAGCTGTTGCAAGCAGACGTTATAGCACAAGTCACCCAGCCCACTCCTTGGGTCAACAGCCTTGTTGTCACTGAAAAAAAGAACGGGTCACTACGAGTATGCTTGGATCCTCATGACCTAAATAAAGCTGTTCTTCGTCAACACTTCTCTATTCCGACAACTGAAGATGTCCTGTGCGAGCTTGCTGGAAAGAAAATTTTCTCCATCTTTGATGAAAAGGATGGCTACTGGCAAGTCAAGCTTGACATGGAATCCTCCCTACTATGCACGTTCAACACGCCATGGGGTAGATACAGATTAAAACGTCTACCATTTGGTATCAGGTCTGCTAGTGAAGTTTTCCAGCAGTACAATAATGAAGTGTTCAAAGACATAGGCGGTGTACACATTGTAGCTGATGATATGATTGTCGCAGCTGCCACAGAACAAGAACATGATGTCATTGTTGCTAAAATTATGGAGAGAGCCAAAAAACACAATGTGAAATTCAACCCTGACAAGATTAAGTTCAAGGTGAACAATGTACATTTCATGGGCCATGTGATAACACCACAGGGAGTGAAAGCAGATGACGGCAAGATACAGGCAGTAGTAAGCATGCCAGCACCCATGGACAGACAAGCACTGCAGCGCCTTTAGGGCATGATAAGATATCTTGCACCATTTATTCCAGGTGAGGCATCACTCACGGCTCCTCTCAGACAGCTGTTGAGAAAGGACATTGCATTCCAGTGGCAACCAGAACAAGACAAGGCACTGTCTGCACTCAAAACAGCACTGACCAACACACCAGTTCTCAGGTACTACGACCCCAACACAGCACTCACCATACAAACAGATGCATCCAAAGATGGCTTAGGATCATGTCTGCTGCAGGAGGGGCAACCAATAGCATATGCGTCCAGGTCTTTAACGGATACAGAAAAGAACTACGCCCAGATTGAAAAGGAGCTACTGGCGATTGTCTTTTCAACCAAAAAGTTCCATCAGTATGTGTACGGATGCAGTGTGAATGTCCAATCGGACCATAAGCCATTGGAGGCTATCTTCAAGAAGCCACTGAGCAAAGCACCGGCGAGACTCCAACGTATGCTCTTACAGCTACAGAAATATGACCTCATTGTCCAATACACACCTGGTAAGGACATGTTAATTGCTGATACACTGTCACGTGCTGTCGCTGAAGGCCAACACACAGGTACAGATGATCTCAGTGATGAAAGGGTCATATATTCATTCACTTGAAGCAACAGATGCCTTCAGTGAAGAAATGCTGAAGCAGCTTACAGATGCTACTGCAAGAGACAGTACACTCCAGTTGCTTGTGAAAACACAAAAGACAGGATGGCCAACACATAGAAAGAAACTCAGTCCCTCAATTCATCAGTTCTGG